GAGTTCCCTATGATCATGTGCCACGGTTTGCCACAGTTACTACGGGACTGAACGAAGGAGGATGAACGTAGAAATGAAAACAAGAAACAAAAGAAACTATTTTAAAGGAAGGGGCCGGGGGAAGAAGAGGGTGCCCAGCTTCTAGAGAGCAAGGGCAGCCACGGTGAACTTCTATAGCCCTTCATATTTATTGAGTAGAAAGAGCAGGGAGCAGGAGGTAACGATTGGTCAGCTGCTTCATTGATCACATGATTGCTAACAGGTTCACATGATTGCTAACAGGCTTCAGATTTGCCTAATCACAAGGAACACTTGTGCCTGGGTCGTGACTGCCCTCAGCATTCCTTCTGGGCGGCGTATGCAGTTTGTCAGTTTGCCAACAACCTGCTTTTATGAGACCAGTTTGCTGTTTACTCATCTAGCCTCCAGTGGTATACCGAGTTGATCATGACCCTCACTTTTTGGGCCTGCAATAACCATTTGACAGAGGAAGAGAAGACCAGGACCTGGGTCACAGATGGTTCTGCACAATATGCAGGCGCCACCCAAAAGTGAACAGCTGCCGCACTACAGCCCCTTTCTAGGATGTCCCTGAAGGATAGCGGTGGAGGGAAATCTTCCCAGTGGGCAGAACTCCGAGCCGTGCACCTGGCTGTGCACTTGGCATGGAAGGAGAAATGGCCAGATGTGTGATTATGTACTGATTCATGGGCTGTAGACAGTGGTTTGGCTGGATGGTCAGGGACTTGGAAGAAGCATGATTGGAAAATTGATAACAAAGAAATTTGGGGAAGAGGTATGTGGATGGACCTCTCCGAGTGGTCAAAAATTGTGAAGATATTTGTGTCCCATGTGAGTGCTTACCTATGGGTGACCTCAGCAGAGGATTTTAATAATCAGGTGGATAGGATGACCTGTTTTGTGGACACCACTCAGCCTCTTTCCCCAGTCACCCCGTCATCACCCAATGGGCCCATGAACAAAGCAGCCTTGGTGGCTGGGATGGAGGTTACGCATGGAGATTCAGCAACATGGACTTCCAGTCACCAAGGCTGACCTGTCTACAGCCACTGCTGAGTGCCCCATTTGCCAGCAGCAGAGACTAACACTGAGCCCTCAATATGGCACCATTCTTTGAAGTGATCAACCTGGTGGCAGGTTGATGATATTGGACCTCTTCCATCATGGAAGGGGCAGAGGTTTGTCCTCACTGGAACAGACACTTATTCCTGATATGGGTTTGCCTGTCCTGCATGCAATGCTTCTGCCAAGACTACCATTCTGTGGACTCACGGAATGCCTTATCCACCGTCATAGTATTCCACACAGCATTGCCTCTGACAAAGGCACTCACTTTACAGCTAAAGAAGTATGGCAGTGGGCTCATGCTCATGGAATTCACTGGTCTTACCATGTTCCCCATCGTCCTGAAGCAGCTGGATTGATAGAACGGTGGAATGGCCTTTTGAAGTCACAATTACAATGCCAACTAGGTGACAATACTTTGCAGGGCTAGGGCAAAGTTCTCCAGAAGGCTGTGTACGTGCTGCATCAGCATCCAATATATGGTCCTGTTTCTCCCATAGCCAGGATCCACGGGTCCAGAAATCAAGGGGGTGGAAGTGGAAGTGGCACCACTCACCGTCACCCCTAGTGATTAAGTAGCAACATTTTTGCTTCCTTTTCTCACGACATTACGTTCTGCTGGCCTAGAGGTCTTAGTTCCAGAGGGAGGAACGCTGCCACCAGGAGACACAACGGTTCCATTAAGTTAGAAGTTAAGATTGCCACCTGGACACTTTGGGGTCCTCCTACCTTTAAGTCAACAGGCTAAGAAGGAGTTACGGTGTTGGCTGGGGTGATTGACCAAGACTATTGAGATGGAATCAGTCCCCTACTCCACAACAGAAGTAAGGAAGAATATGCATAGAATACAAAAGATCCATTAGGGCGTCTGTCAATATTATCATGCCCTGTGATTAAGGTCAATGGGAAACTGCAACAGTCCAATCCAGGCAGGACTACAAATCACCAGACCCTTCAGGAATGAAGGTTTGGGTCACTCCACTAGGAAAATAAAACATGAACTGCTGAGGTGCTTGCTGAAGGCAAAGGAAAATGGCGGAAGGTAAAGGAGGAGCAAAGGCACATCTTACATGGTGGCAGGCAAAGAGAGTGCGTAGGGAACTGCCCTTCATAAAAATATCAGATCTTGTGAGACTTACTGACTATCATGAGAACAGCACAGGAAAACCCCACCCCCATGATTCAATTACCTCCCAGCAGGTCCCTCCCACAACACATGGGGATTATGGGAGCTATTCATATTAATACAATTTGAGATGAGATTTGGGTGGGGACATGGCCAAACCATATCAGGCATCCTATGGGCAGGCCAGAAGTGTTGGTCACCCCTTCCACCCATGCCTTACTGGCCAGAACTCACTCATATAGCCTTACCTGATCAGGGGGGTGGTACTGGGAAATAAGGATGCATGAACGGGTGTGACCACAGGGCACAGGGTTTGCCACGCTCAGCTGACTTGTTTCTCTCCCACACACCAGGCCACTTAGAGATGCAAGACAAAGTAGCCCACCCCTGGTCCCCATCATCCCCTTGGAATCCCCTTGGAAAACCCGGGATCATTTTGAAAGATGCTCATGGACATCATCTCATTGGGGGCTCATCACAGTATCAAGGTAGAAGAGGAAGCTGAGACCAGTAAGATCACATGGTGGCTAAAGGTGGTGTGGCTAGTGAGGGACAGGTCCCTTGGCTGCAGAGCCACTGGTGGGCAGCAATGCACCATGGCAACGGGGTCTGGCAGAGATGGCAGTTTCCCTGGCCACAGTGTCCAGCAGCAGCATGGCTCTGTCTGTGGTCAGTCAGGGGTGCAGCTGTGACCTGAGACTGTAGGCTCCTTTGAAGGTGGTGGCCCTGCCCCTCGTGTGGAGCCCAGCTGTGCTGTGGGGCTGGGCTACGGTGTCCTCCTGTCTCAGGATGTGACTCTGCTTTCACTGCCCACCAGCTCTCCAGCCTTCCCCTTGGTTCTTGGAGACCTAATTTGCTTCCAATCAACCCCTTCCTGCTCAGTGGCCAGCCTATTTCTCCATCTGCAACTAGCAACCCTGACTATAACTTCTGGGGAGACTTCTGGCTATAACTTCTGAGGCACAGAGCAGGGCAGGGGCTTGCCCAGGGTCACAGGGCTCTCGGTCAGTCTGGGAGTGGCAGCCAGGCCACCTCCTCCTCCTGCAGGAAGCTTTCCCCACCTTTCCGCAGCCCTGGAGCTGCATGGAGCAGAGAAGGGAGTTGTCTGCCCTCCGGCATCCTGTGTGTTCCAGGCTGTGTGGGAGCAGGTGCAACTGCCAGGCATGGCAGGAGCCTGGGCCCAGGCCAGCACTCAGGAATGCAGCGGGGCCCTGCCCCTCCCTGCAGGGATGAGCAAGTGCCAGGCGCCCAGGCCAGCGGATGTGTCTGTGGCTACAGCCCCAGCCGCCCCCGCCTCCGCACCGGCTGTCCTGGGCCAGCCCCTTGGGGGCCTGGGATGTGTGGGGAGCATGAATGGGGCTCTGTGGCCCAGCAACTGTTCTGCGGAAGGCGGCTGGTGGCTGCACAGGTGACTGCAGGGGTGGGTGGGGGATGCAAAGATCTGCTTCCTGGGCCTGGTGTCCCCTGCCTTGCATGAGGCCCTGACAAGACATCACTGAAGCATCAAAACCAACCCTTGTGGCCCACCCGAGACCTGCCTCTTGGATCACAGGGGCAGTGGGAAGGGGTGCCCAGGGCTCCCGATGCCTCTGAGCCTTGCTCTCAGGTCAGTCCATGTGGCTCAGTCCTGGCTGTAAGTCCTCATGCTGCCCTGATTCCATTTCCTCTTCAGTACAAGGCAGACAGAGCCCAGCCTAGGGTCTGGATGGGATGAAATGAAGATGCCTCCTCCCTAACAGGACACTGTCTACCCCTTCCCTCTTCTCCCCCGAGAACCGTCAGCCCCGTGAGGATGGGGTCTGGGGTAGGGCATGTGGACGGAGTTTCGCTGCTTGTCCACGTGCTTATTTTCCGGGGCACCGTTGCCCCTCCCCACTGCTGTTCCCGTATCTTCTGGGTGTCCCTGATCCCAGGGTGGTGGAGGCCGTCTCTCGGAAGGGGCTGACACCCAAGGGGCGGACCTGCCAGGTCCCCCAAAGCACATGACCTCTCTGCAGAAGAACCTGGATGTAACATCTAATGCCCAGGCCAGAGCTTGGGGACAGCTGGACTGGAGCCACAGGGTCAAGGAGGGGGAGTCCAGAAACGCAAACCACCCAGCTGGGAGGGCTGCTGGCAGGTCCTTTACGAAGCGGGCAGCTCCCCTACCCATCGGACCAGGCTGGCCTAACCAGGGCCTGCTCTTCTCTGGGGACGGGGGCAGAAGAGGTGGAGACTGGGGGCATCGAGGTGGCACTGTGGGTCCTGAACCCACCCACCTGCACTGGGGTCCCTGCATCCTTTTAATGGGAACAGAAATGTAGGAAGAGATGGAGGCTGCCAGGGCTCCCGGACCCCTACTGTCTGCCTGGGGAGGGGTCACCTCAGTGTGGGGGAAGCCTGGGACATGAGAGTGTCCTAGGCCTGGGCTGCCTGTGCCCAGTCTGTTGTGGGGGTGTCTGGTGACCCCTGGGGTGGTGGGAGGGGCACCACCCCAGTCTGGGAGGCGGGACTGGTTGAAGACCAACTTTAAAGTCGGGAGCAGCGCCCAGAGCGGGGCCAATTTCTGCTGGGTGGTTATCTCTGCTTTTTGAAAAAGAAGCCCCCGCCGGACCCCCGCAGGCGCTGGTCTGGGCGTCCGAGCCCCCATGGCGCGCTCGCTCCGCCGCGGGACGGTGGGGCCAGAGGGGCCCGTGGGGGTGGGGGAGCCGCCCGCAGGAGAAGGGGCCCCGCCCGCGCCGGCCCTGGAGTCGCCGGTGTCGCCGCCCTGCCCGCGGGCCCGCCCTCCTGGCCCAGCCCAGGGCCCTGGGAGCTATTTTGAAAGTGACCCTGGGCTGGGGCGCCGGGGCGAGCGCGGCGGCGCGGAACCATGACAGAAGATGACCGAGGCGGCGCTGGTGGAGGGCCAGGTCAAGCTGCGGGACGGCAAGAAGGTCGGGGCGCGTCGGGGGCGCGGGGGGGCGCGGGCGCGGGCGGCGGCTCACGCTCCCCCCTGTCCCCGCAGTGGAAGAGTAGGTGGCTGGTGCTGCGCAAGCCGTCGCCCGTGGCAGGTGAGCGGGGCGGGCGGGGGACGGTGGGCGCGGGGGGCCTAGTGACCCGGGTTACCGAGGCCCCCGGCGGTAATGCTCGCTCGCCCGAAATCGCCGCCGCTCTCACCCCGCCGGGAACCCGGAGAGCCCCGCGCGGACCCGGACCCCACGGCGCCCCTGGGAACGCAGTGGGGGCCCGGACGGAAGAACCCTCTTTCCAGCAGGGCAGACTGAGGCCCGGGGGCTGCCTGGTGGCCCTGGAGGCGGAGGGGATGCAGGCCCTGAGCCCCCCAGCAGAGCAGCAAGGGGCACCCCAGAAGCAAAACCCCACGTGCCTGAGGGTTGAGCTGTGCTTGTGGAAACGCTCAGAGCAGGGTCCCGGAACCCAGCCTCCAGGGGTGCTGTGTGGGTGGGCGCTGCCCCTGGGCCCCTCCCAGGCAGAGGAGAGGCTGGGCTGTGGTGGGGTAGGGGGCCGAGTGACTGCCATATTGCTGGGGGAACAGTCCTCTGGGAGGAGGCAGGGGTCCCCCGCAGTCTGCGCCCTGAGCCAGTACCCCAGCTTGGGGAGGGTCAACACGGAGCCCCCAGGTCTGGCAGCCCAGGCCGCCTGCAGCGCTGGGCCTGTGGGGAGGGCTGAGCCGGGCCTGCAGCTGCTCCAGAGGACAGGTGCGGTGGAGCCGGCCAGGCCCCGGTCTGGGTGGGATGCTCGGCCTGCGTGCACCGGGGGGCTGTATGCCATAGGCCTGCCAGAGCGTCATCCAGGATGGGAGTCTGTGGCTCCCAGGGAAGGTGTGGAGCAGGGTTCCCTCCTGGGTCCCCTCTGCAGGGCCTCAGGTGGTCCTGGAGGAAGGCACTTCCTGCCTGCCTCCACCTCCCCTTGCAGGGCCTGGGCTGCACACCAGTCACTTCACTCAGCCCTCCGTGCCCAGACCTCCTGCCTGGAGCTGTGGGGGCACCATCAGAGCCTGGAAGGGTGTCTTTGTCCTCCGGGGCTGCAGGGGACCTGGTATAGGAAGGGGTGGGGTCTGGGCAGAGTGAGAGGCCCTGCCAGGCTGGGGCGGACGACAGGCTTTGGTCAGCTGTGGCTGGGCCAGGGCTGTGGTGGGGCAGGTGGTGCTTGATGGGTGGATGGTGCTGGGCTGGAGCCGGTGCAGACCCTCCAGAGAGGCCACAGCCCAGGAAGGCGCGCGGGACAGCAGCCCAAGGGGAGCATTTCGGGAGAGGTCTTTGTCCCTCTTGGGAGGCTTTTCTTTCTGGATCAGACAGTCCCAGGAGGCAGGGCCTGCCAGCCTCAAGACGGTGTGCTCCCCAGGCCTGGTGAGTGCCTGAGTGGAGTGATGGGAGCTGGCAATGGGTCCCCCAGGTGGGACAATCTGTGAGTCTGTAGGTGAACGTGGTGGCTCCCGAGCGTCTTCTGGGTCACCCCGTATCCCGCGCAGTTGAGATCTGCAGCCTCGTGGGACTGGCGTGGGAGGTGATGTGGGAAAGTGGAACGTGCCCTGCCCCCTCTGGGTGGATGTTCATTCTGAGCCTTGCGGCCAGGTGTCCCTAGCACCCACCGACTCCCTGGCCTGGGACCCATTGCTTTGGACACCTGTTTTCTGTGTTGGTCACTCCAGCAGCCTGGGACTGAAATGGAAACCCTGTGGGGTGGCCCAGAGGTCAGTCAGATGAGGCGATGGGACAGAGCGGAGTTCTCACGCCCACCTCCCCACCTTGACCAGGCCAGCCTGGCACCTCCTCTCTGCTCAGAGGCCCTGATGCCTCTTCCTCCTGGCCCGTCATGAGCCTCCCTGGGTGCCGCCCCCTTTGCCTTCACCCAGCTGCCTTCCCGCTCAGCGCTGGAGACCACCGCCCTTGTGGATGGGACTGGCTTGGCGGGAGCAGGCCCCAGCCCTGGAGGAGCAGACAGCACTCTTGGTGTGAGGCAGAGAGAAAGGGTCCTGTCTGCTTCCTTGTAAGACAGGCAGGGTTCTTTTTGTTACCAGCGGTGATTTCCTTCTGGGAAGGGCCCAGATGTGCACCTTTTCCACGGGCACCTTTCTCCTCCTCGTGTTTTTCTCAATCATAAGCACATCTTTCTCTTATGGCAAAGTTTAGTTAGCGAATGAAAGGGGAACACCTTTTATCAAAGGGCAGCTCAGCCACAGTGCCGGGCACGGCCAGTGGATGTCGGGCCGTCTGCCTCGGTGTGGGACTGTAGGGTGCCCTGCAGTGGGACCGCGTTCCTCGAGGTCTCCACCGCGTCCTGACTGCAGGATGCGTGTGTGCGTCCCCTTCTGGGCAGGGCCTCCGGGGAGGAGGGTGGTCTGTGTCCAGTCGTGGCCCAGGACTCTCTGCTGGTGACCCGGCACGCCAGCGCCTGGCCCAGCCCCTCTCTTCTTCCTCCCTGGCGCAGCGGCTGGGGGTGGCAAGGCAAGCGTTCTTGACATCCTGTGGAGGGTGTGGCCCCGGGCCAGACGCTTGGAGGGACCCGCTTCCCACAGGGGTTGTCCCTGGGGGCTTCATCCAGCTCAGAAAAGCTACCGGGAGGGCCCGAGTCCTGGGGCTGGCAGGGTCTTGCAGTCACCATGGAAGGGAGGCTGAGGCGCAGAAACCCGAGGAATCTGGCCTAAGACACGGACTGCTAGGCAGAGCCCAGTTCCCCTCAAACAGCCCAAACCTTGTCCCCCGCAGCTGGCTGGAAGTTCCGCACCTGCCCCCAGGCTGACCACTGGGTGCTTGCTTAGTCTCCCCCATCACTGCTCTTGGTTCTAATGCTGAGTTCTCGGAGGGCAGGGTCCCCTTTTCCATGTCGCCCTCAAAGGCAGCCTGGTGGGACTGAGCCCGTCCTGCAGGAGGGACCCCACGGAGACAGCGCAGGAGCCAGGAGCCCCTTGGCAGGTGCCCCATAGGCCCCAGAGCTGCCCCACGCTGTGCTGTGCTGGGGCCCTGCCACCCACAGTGGGCAGCACTGCTAACGAGGGGCCGGGGGTGGAAACTGGGTTGGCCCTTCCTGAGCAGAGCCTCCCGGCGGTGGATTTCCTGTGCCTCTGCCTCCTTCCCCAAGGGACTGGGGCTGACATCCCAGCTCCGGGCTGAAGACTGGGCGTGGGTGGTGGCCAGTCATCCTCTCCCCGTAGAAACATCAAGAACGGGCGAGTTTCTCGCAGCCCCCGCCTCAGGACAGGGAATCAGAGAGCCGGGCTTCAGCTCGCGGCTCCACATGTGGGAACCGTGACTTGGGACGGCTGCTTCCCTGCCTGCATCCTCGGCCACTCACAGGGCTCTTGAGGGCCATGGAGAGGTGGGCGCGAGGGCCTGGGCCTGGCATCCGGAGCCTCGTCCTGGGCTGCCCCTGGTGATGTCTGGGGGGCCCACCTGCACCACACCTCCAACACCTGTGCCAGGCAGGGACACCCTCATGTTTCCTTCCTGAACCAGATTGTGAATGGGGCCGGGGCTAGGCACTGGATCTTGGTCCCTTGTGTCCTGGCTGTAGCCTGGTCTGAGGAGGCACCAGCAGGCCGGCCTGGTTGATGGCCGCCCCCCTCGCCCCTGCCCAGCTTCTGGGCACGGCTCCAGGCTGCTGCACCCCCAGCAGGGTCCCCTCAGGCTGCTACCACCTGCATTGCTAAGGGCATGGCCTCAAGGTCACTGTGACCTCCAAGGGCTGTCCCACAGCCGCTTCTGCGGACTCCCATCGTGTTCAGTGTGGGCGGGGACTCCCACACTATGTCCCTGGCCCGCAGGCGCCCCTGCCTTCCCTGGGCCACCACGCCTGCTCGCTCCATCGTCCCTGTGGCTTCTCCCCCTCCTCCTTCTCCCCTCCCGCCCTCCCCGGCTCTCCGCCCTGGCTGCAAGGCCTTCCGTGTGCTCATGACTCCACGGTTATTTTTACATCTCCAGACGCCTGCGTCCAACTGCCTGTGTGCATCGCCGTCCGGCGTCTGGTGGGCTTCTCAGCCCCACGTGTCCAGGAAAGACCCCCAACCCCAGCCCCCACCCAGAAGGGTCCCCAGGCATCCCTCCCCCACCCAAGTCCCTGGGCTCATCCTGGATGTCTCATTCCCCTGTGGCTGTGGAGGTGAATGCAGGAGGAGCGTGTGTGCATGTGCGTGTGTGTGTGTGTGTGTGTGAGAGGATGCACGTGTGCACCTGTACACACCGTGGGAGCATGTGCACGTGTGAGCAAGTGTGAGCATTTGGGTGTGTAAGAGTGTATGTGTGAGTGTGCGCTTGTGTGGCTGTCTTAGCTCAGGCGGCTCTTAGCGAATGCCACAGCCTAGGCGGCTCAGACAGTCATTACTCACAGTTCTGGGGGCTGGAGGCCCAAGATCAAGGCAGCCTGGGTGTCTGGTGAGGACCGTGTCCTGCTACATAGATGGTGCTTTCTCTGTCCTTACATGGTGTAGGGGGAGGAAGCGCCCTGGGGTCCGCTCATCAGGCACTGGTCCCATTCTTGAGGCTCCACCCTGAGTACCTCATCACCTCCCAAAGGCCCCACCACCTAACCCATCGCCTTGGGGGTGAAGATTTCAACACCGGAATTTCAGATTCAGACCCCAGCAGTGAGTGCATGAGTGCACGTTTGTGTGTGTGTGCACAAGAATGAGTGCAAGTACATGTCTGTGCCCACGTGTGTGTGCACGTGCATGTGAATACCTGTGTGTGGGAGTGTGTCTATGTGTGCACGTGTGCACATGTGTGTGAATACCTGTGTGTATGTGCAAGTGTGTGTGAGCTCAAATGCCTGTGTGCATGTGTCTGTGTGTGCAAGTGTGTGCAGGTGTCTGCATGGGTGTGCATCAGTGTGTGCACCTGTGTGTGAATGGACGTGTATGAGTGTGTGCATGTATGAGTGTGCCTGTGTGTGCATGAGTGTGTGTGCCTGAGTGTTCGTGTATGAGTGTGAGTGTGCCTGTGTATGTGTGTGCTTGTCTGTGAGTATGTGTGTATGTGTGTGTGCCTGTGTGTATGTGTGTGTATAAATGTGCCTGTGTGCATGTATGTGTGCCTGTGTGTGTTCGTGTGTGAGTGTGCATTTGCCTGTGTGTGCATGTATGAGTGTGCGTTTGCCTGTGTGTATGAGTGTGTGTGTGTATGAGTGTGTGTGCATGCCTGTGTGTGCGTGTGTGTGCATGTGAGTGTACATGTGCCTGTGTATGTGTGCATGTATGTATGTGTGCATGTATGTGTGTGCCTGTGCATATGCATGTATGAGTGTGTGCATTTCTGTGTGTGTGCATGTATGAGTGTGTGTGCATGTCTGAGTGTGCATGTAGGAGTGTATGTGTGTGCGTGTCTGTGTATGAGTTTGAGTGCCTATGCATGAGTGTACGTGTATGACTGTGCCTGTGTGTGTGCATGTATGTGCGTGCCTGTGTATGAGTGTGTGTGTATGAGTGTGTGTGCCTGTGTGTGCTTGTGTGTATGAGTGTGCATGTATGAGTGTGTGTGTCTGTGTGTGTGTATCAGTGTGTGTGTGTGAGTGTGCATGTGTGCCTGCTTGCTCCACGTTGGTCTCTGTGCCTTGGTTGGCCTCTCTTGGTGTCTCCTCTTTGTCTTCTTTCACCATCATGACCCGGTGCCCTCCACCCAGCCCAGTGCTGCCTGCCAGAGCCCCGGGAACCCTCCAAGTCCTGCAAAAGCCTTCCCTGGCCAGGTTGCAGCCAATGCCCAAGAGTGCGGAGCAGCTGGAGGGTGGGTGGGCGGGGCTGACGGTGGTTCCTCAGCCGATGGATGAGAGACCCCCGGGTGCCCAGGCCTCCCGGGAGGGTGTGGCTGGGGCCCTCTGGGCCTGGCCCCTGGGGAGCTGGCCAGTGGCCATCTGCTCCTGAGTCCCTCAGCCCCGTGTCTCCCCAGCACACGTACTGTGTCCCAGGGAGAGCCGCTGCGTCCTGGGGCTCTGGTGTCCCGGCCCTGACCTGGCTTGGTCTCAGCCCTGGGCCTGGAGCTGCCGTCTCTCTGGTGCCAGTTCCTGCAGCGTTTTGCCCCCGGCACTCATCTCGAGATGCGCTTTAAAAACAGGATCGATTTATCGTCCGTGATGAGGAGGGGGCGGCCTGAGCATGAGGGGGTGGGCGTCAGCTGCCGGAGAAGCTTCCGCCAGGCAGGAGGGGCGAGTTGGCCCCCAGCTCTGACCTCCCTGCTTCTGTTCGTGTTTGAAAATGAAATCAGTGACTTGGGTGGTCATCAGTTTTCTGTGGCCAACAGAATAAAGCACCACAGCTGGGCCTTCGAACAACGAGAATTCGCCCTCTCAGTGCTGGGAGTCAGAGCTCTGCAGTCCAGGGGGCCGCAGGGCCACACTCCCTCTGAGCTTCTCAGAGGGGCTCCTTCCTGCCTCTCCCAGCTCCTGCTGGACACAGGCATCCCTTGGCTGTGGCCTCAGCGCTCCAGTCCCTGCCTCCGTCCCCGTTCAGGTGACCTTCCCTGTGTCTGTTTCTCCTGTTCTGCCTTTTACAAGGACACTTGCTGCTGCACTCAGATAATCTAGGATCCTGAACTTGATTACGTATGCAGAGACCCTGTTCCCAAATAAGGACATACAGGTTCCGGGGTCGCGAGTGGACACATCTTGCTGGGGGCCACGCCTAGCCCCCTGCATGTAAGCGCTCCTAGATTCTCAGGCGTTCCCAAGGTACAGGGTGTGAGTCTGCTTTTGTAGACAGAGTCCAGAAAAAATCAGACAGGTTGAGGGGTGGCGTCCGTGAATCAGAAAAAGGTCTGAGGGTGGAGCATGGGTTCAGCACGTTCCCCACCACCAACCTGGCAGGTGCAGATGTCTAGGGTGGGGCCGGCTGGCTCGTGGAAGGTGTGAAAAGCCATCGTGGCAAATTCAACTCTCGGCCAGGAGTCGGCTCACTGTGGTCTCTGGGCCAAATCCTGCCAGAACCTGTTTTTGTAAATAAAGTTTTATTGGCTCACAGCCATTCCCACATGCATCATCTGTGGCTGCTTTCCAGCTAAGTATCGTAACGGAGACTTTAAGCCCGGTAAAGCCAAAAGGGTGATGTGGGGCTCTTTCCAGGCAAGCTCCTGACCCCAGTCCTGACTGGATTATTGGGAATGTAACTTGTTGAACAAAGGAGGTGCAGGTTGGGGGCAATGGCAGGAACTGGTTGTCAACAGGTGCCAGAGCTGTCTGCCAGGGCGTGGCCAAGGTGCCACCATCACAGAGCAGAGCCACAGGGGAGGAAAGGTCTCTGCCTGGCTTCTGGGCGATCAGGCCACCAAGGCTCCAAGGAGGCTGAGGCCCTCGAGGTGGAAGGTGGCAGATGGCTGGCCAGTGTGTGCCCCTTGCTGGGTACTGAGGGTGAGCCATGGGTCACCTGGTCCCTCTGTGCATGGGCAGCCAGATTGCAGGGAAGCCGGCCCGGCCTTACAGCTGGTAATGCAGACAGACGTATACCTGAATATGCAAGCATGTATTGAGTGCTTACTGCATGCAGGACTTCCACACCTTCCTGCAGATGGTCCTTATGGCATTGCTGCAGGTGGGGCTGCCACTGTCCCCAGGTCACAGATGAGAAAACTGAGGCCAAGAGCCCAAGGCCATGAGGCTGGAAGATCAAAGCAGGGATTTCCAGGGGCCTCACCCCTTAGGGGAAGGGTATGAAGGGGTGCTCTGTGTGGGCTGTGATTATCCTCAGTGGAAGTTTCTGCCACTCTCCACATGGGTGTGGCTGAGCTTTTTAAGGTCCCCTGAGGCAGAGGTGGCCCAGGCCCCTGCAGCCATCTCACAACACACTTCAACTGCAGAGGGTGGAGGCTGTGGTGCGGTCACAGAGTCGCGGGCTGCGGGCCGTCCTCAGGCTCAGGCAGCCCTGGGGCCCCCGTCCCGCGCGGAGCCACCCCCATGTTCATGCTGTTCCCACACGCCGTCATTTCTTGGGTGCTCTGGTGATGCATTTGGGGGACACTGCTGTTATGGCAAATTCCAATTATGCCGCCATGTTCGATTTCTCTCTCTGGGGCAGGCGTCCTGCTTCCTGCCTTGGAGTTTCCACAGGGGGGCAGGAGATTGTCTGGAAAGGGCAGGCGGAGTTCTGTGGGTGCAGGGATGAGTTCTGTGGGTGCAGGGATGACGGGGCTTCTTTCTCAAATTGGGAATGCCTAGCTTTTTTCTAGCTGTAAATGTTTCAGACACTGCGGACAGATCCTCCAATGGGAAGTGAACGTGCTGTCGCTGCGCCCACACTGCGCCTTGCTTTTGTGAATTGGGTTTCCTGGAATGCAGCTGTGCCCGTGGGTCCACAGACGGTCTGAGGTTGCTTTCACCAGCAAGGGTGGCGCTGCTGAGTAGTGGCTGCAGAGCCCGTGTGGCCCTGGAAGCGGCATGCTTGCCCTCTGGCCCCTTGCAGAGGAAGCTTGCTGACCGCTGGCCCCCGTGGTCACACAGGCTTCCCTGGCCCTGCGGGCTGCGGCCATGTGGCCCGGGGAGGTGGGCACGGCTGAAGAGGGAAACTGAGCACCATGTCTGCTCTGGATTCCATTGCAAAAATGAGCGTCTGAGTCGAATTCATTTGGGATTTTGGTTGTCATGTGGCTTTGCGGGGCCTGTGTGAAGAGTGAGCACCTACTCTTCAGAGCTTCAGAGGACACGTCATTCTGCAATCCTCTTTGGGGACATTCTCTCCCATCCCCTCCTGCATGCTCACAGGGATTTGGGGTGTTTGCATGAGGCCCCAAAACCTACAGCCTCGCCGAAGCCGGGTGTCCTGGAGCCCAGCTGCCGGGGCCTAGGTGGGAGGAGGCCTGGTCGTCAAGCCTGGAGCGGAGCCGGGAGGGCCGGGAGTCTTCCTGCGCCGTCCTCTGCTCTCTCGGGCAGACCTGCTGCCCCTGCCATTCACAGGAGTGTCCCCGGGCCAGGTGGTTCGCCCAAGGCCACGCAGGGACTGTGCTGTGCTGGGTTTGAACTGCACCTGGCGGAGTGGACGGCACCCGCTAGTTGCTTGCGGTGACAGTGACGTTGGAAAATGGGAACGTGGGGTGGGGACGGGGACCCGCGTTGCCCTGGAGGCTCCGGGAGGCAGAACGCAGGCAGGTCCCCAGCAGCCGAGGAAGAAACCAGGACTTGCTATGCTGGGCAGTGGCCGGGTGGATGGGGTGGGACCCACGGCCCACTGACCTCCCCGACTCCCTGGGGCTGCAGCTCAGCCACACCCTGGGAACTAAAGGAACCAGGAGGGGCAGTGGGTCTTGAGGCGGCAGGGAGCGGGCACAGGTGTGGCTGGCAGGGCGGCAGGGCAGGGGCAGGCTGGCAGAACCAGGGCAGGAGACCACAGCCACCGGGCAGGCCCCATGCTGGGCCCCCAAACCCCTGACCACAGATACTGCAGGCCTCCGTGTGGCCCGGGGGGCTCCAGGGCCTGGGACAGGGCGAATCCGCTGGCGAAGGTCCAGAACCCATTCATGGGAGCCAGCGTTGGGGGCCGGGCACAGACATGGATATTCTGGGTTCGTTTCCGGTCTTGCGGCCTGTGGGTCCTGCTACGGAAGGGGATCACCCCATTTTGTATGCCAGGAGTCGAAGCCTTGGCATGGCTGAGTGGCTGGCTTGAAGTCACGCCCCCAGTCCGGGTCTCTGCACTGTCACGGCCTCCTTGGGGACACCAAGGGCGCGGGCAGGCGGTGCTGGCTGGCGTCCCTGACAGCCGCGCTCCCTGCAGACTGCCTGCTGATGCTGGTCTACAAGGACAAGTCGGAGCGCTCCAAGGGCCTGCGGGAGCGCAGCAGCCTGACGCTAGAGGACATCTGCGGGCTGGAGCCCGGCCTGCCCTACGAAGGCCTGGCCCACACGCTGGCCATCGTCTGCCTGTCCCAGGCTGTCATGCTGGGCTTCGACAGCCACGAGGCCATGTGTGCGTGGGACGCCCGGATCCGCTATGCGCTAGGCGAGGGTGAGTGACTGGGGTCGGGTCCGGGCAGAGGGCTCCCTGCTCAGGTGTGCCAGGGCCCCTCACCAACGTGGGCTGCAGAGGCGGGAGCAGCTCCAGGGAACCGTGCAGGAAGATGGGACATTCATGGGTGCCTTAGAGTGGAGTGAGCTCCAGCCTGGGGGTGCCCAAGAGGGTTTGGGAGGCGGAGTCTGCTGGGCTATGGTGTCTTTGGAGCTCCCTAGCCTGACCATTAGTTACAACTGGAGCCTTTAACTCAAGCTGGTGGCCTTTGGAGGCATGTGGCCTCCCAAAGCCCCGCCCTTTGCTTCCCACACTGGACAGTGGAGCCCAGAGCCTGGGTAGGAAGGAGAACCCCAGGCTGGGTGGTCCCACCCTAGCTTCCCCCACACAGGATGGGAGGGAGGGGAGGGAACAGAGGGAGGGAGAGAGAGGGGAAGGGAGGGCTCCCCTGCAGAGCTGGCCCTGGAAGAGGTGGAACCTCAGTCCCAGCCCTACAGGGGCTTCGAATGGGTGCCTGGGGGCCACTGGGAGCTGAGCTGCCCTGGGGCTCTGAGCAGAGGTGGGTGGTGATGGGGCCTGGGCACTCAGCGGCAGAGCAAGCATAATCCTGCGTCCCCTAGGAAACCAAATCAGTGCCACAAAACCCGTAACGAGCAAAACAGTAGAATGTCAACCAAGTCGAGTCCTGGTCCTACACTGGCACCCACCCAATAATCCCACCAGCTCTAGCTGCCCTCGCTTTAAAAACTTGCTATTTTAGGCCGGGTGTGGTGGCTCACACCTGTAATTCCAGCACTTTGGGAGGCTGAGGTGGGCAGATCACCTGAGCCCAGGACGTAGAGACCACCCTGGACAAAGTGGTGAAACCTCGTCTCTACTAATAATTCAAAAATGATGGCCAGGCGTAGTGGCTCATGCCTGTAACCCTTGTGCTTTGGAAGGCTAAGGCGGGCAGATCTCCTGAGGTCAGGAGTTTGAGACCAGCCTGGCAAACATAGTGAAACCCTGTCTCTACTAAAAATACAAAAATTAGCCTGGTGGCAGGCACATGTAATCCCAGCTACTCAGGAGGCTGAGATAGGAGAAGCGCTTGAACCTGGGAGGTGGAGGTTGCAATGAGCTGAGATTGTGCCATTGCACTCCAGCCTGGAATAGAGTGAGACTTCATCTCAAAAAAAAAAAAGAAAAAAGAAAAAAAGAGCCGGGAGGTGGAGGTTGCAGTGACCTGAGGTTGCACCACTGTCCTCCAGCCTGGGAGACAGAGTGAGACCCTCTTAGAAAAACAAACACGGCCGGGCGCGGTGGCTCACACCTGTGGTCCCAGCACTTTGGGAGGTCAAGGTGGGAGGATCACGAGGTCAGGAGATCAAGACCATCCTGGCTAACATACTGAAACCCTGTGTCTACTAAAAAAAAAAATACAAAAAATTAGCCAGGTGTGGTGGCGGGCGCCTGTAGTCCCAGCTACTCGGGAGGCTGAGGCAGGAGAATGGCGTGAACCCGGGAGGCAGAGCTTGCAGTGAGCCAAGATAGCGCCACTGCACTCCAGCCTGGGCGACAGAGACTCCACCTCAAAAAAAAAAAAAAAAAAAAATTAAAAATTAAAAAATAAAAACACAAAAAAACTTGCTATTTTGATTAGCATGGACTCTGCATAACTTTACTTTTTAAAATATTGATTAAAATATCCTGGCCCTTGATGGCTGAGTTCTTTGGCCTTGGAGGTGAGTGTCCTGCTCCCCCAGTTTTGGCCCCAGGGCAGCAGCCCCTCCTGCTCCATTGAAGGGGAGAGAAGCTGGGGGCTTAGTGGGAAGAGGTGCGGTCAGCTCTGCGGGAGGGCGCAGGGGAAGGAGACATTAGGAGAGAAGAACTGCCAGAACTTTCAAGAAAGTTCTTCCGTTGGGGGTTTCCTCCAGCCTGGCTCAGCGGCATGGCTCTGCTTCCTTCATCCGCTGGGGCAGGACCATAGCACAGAGGCCACTGGGCACTGCCCAGGCAGTGTTATCTTGATAGAACATGGCCTGACAAGGATGCACCCAAGGCCACAGCTTGGAGCAGGTGGAGGAGGCAGAGGAGTGGGAGGTGGGATGGAAACAGGGGTCCCTTTGGCTCCGGGGGCTGGAGATGGAGCAGGTGGGGCCCCTGGTGGGTAGGCTGCTATCTGCCTGGGGTGCTGACCTGGGAAGAGGGGGAAGGCAGGGACAGCACTCAGGACCACTCTCCTCTCTGAGGCTTTCAGGGGCAGGGGCCTGGGCAGCGTCAGTGGACAGGACCATGGGAGTGCTCAGGGTTCAGGTGAACGGTCACCTGGCTGGAGAGAGGGCCTGTGGTGTCCTGAGGCTCCTGTGGCCAGGCTGGGGCTTCGATGCAGACCCCAGACTCTCCACACCGTAACTGGAGGCTGGGAGTCCCTGAGCCTCGGTTTCCCCTTCTGTGACGGGGCCACGCAGCTGTGGAGGGAGCCTTTCTGGAGAGGAGGTGCTGGGGGCGGGAGCCCAGCCAGGGCACTCACCAGCCCTGTCCTCCCCAGCAGCTCTGTGGTGGGAGGGGAGGGAGGCGGAGGTCCGAAGTCAGGCCCCTCTGGGACTTGCTTGCGCCTGAACAAAGGTAGTTCCTGGGAGGATGGCGAGGAGACAAGTGCGGCCCCCTGGCCCCCCCGCCCGCTCGGGGCTGTGGGGAGAGCCATTTGCTCATCCTGCCGCCGCTGCCTCCCCGGCTGACACCTGGGTGGCTGCCCCTGCCCGCCCCAGCCTGGCCTCTGCCCCTGCTGCCTCCTCTCGCGATGCCCTCTCGCCCCTCCCGCCCGTGATGCCCTCTCGCCCCGCCCGTGATGCCCTCTCACCCCGCCCACCCACAGTGCACAGGTTCCATGTGACAGTGGCTCCAGGCACCAAGTTGGAGAGCGGCCCGGCCACCCTGCACCTCTGCAATGACATCCTCGTCTTGGCCAGGGACATCCCCCCGGCTGTTACGGGGCAGTGGAAGCTATCTGACCTCCGGCGCTACGGGGCCGTGCCGAGCGGATTCATCTTTGAAGGCGGGACCAGGTGTGGGTACTGTAAGTACGGATGCATGGGCTCACTGAGCAGTGGCAGCACCCCCGTTTCCCCCGAGAACTGCTGGCTTTGGGCCGACTGACCCCACGTGCAGGCCGGCCTGCTGGCATTTCCAGAACGCACCAGCAGGTGGATGGCGTCTCCCCACGCTCGATGTCCGAGGTCCTCTGCCTGCAGGAACCTCAGTGTGGAGTGCCAAGTATGGGGCCTCAGCTGCCTCTGCTCTTCCTCACTGCAGGGAGGGAGTATGGGGATGGGAGGAGGGGCCTGAGGCCACAGAGCCTCAGAGCCGCTCATATCCAGATTTCATGAAAAGGAAAAAACAAAGAACAAATGCATTTAGTGGCGGGGAGCCTGAGCTCGCGCATGAGCACCACGGAGACACATTCCTGGACCAAGAATTCCTGGTGGACACGCCAGCCGCCCCGCCTGTGGGTCGCCCAGAGCTGCCCTAATGTCCCCAGTGAGGTGGCCAGGCCGTGGGTGGGGATGGCCTGAGTCCTTTGGGCATGTGAAGGCCTGAGAGCCGCCCTCAGCCAGGGGAGTGAGGGAAATGGGAACAGGAAGGCACCCGGGCGTCTCCAGAGAGTCTGAGGGCTGCTGCAGGAGTGGGCTGTCCCAGCGACCCCCTCCACTTTCTCCCATGTTGGGTGCAGATGCGCCAGGCTGCCCTGTGGACCTGCAATCCCCGCGGAGGGCGTGACGCCGCCTCTCTTCCCTCTGGAGGGGCAGCTGCTCATTGGCCGGGCTGGTGGCGGGCAGAGGGGCCTCCTGTGGGCCTGGTGTGGGGCTGAGAGGACTGAGGGACAGCACTTGGCTCACACTGGCCGGGGCTCTGGTGGAGCCTGGATGTCTGGGCGGAGCAAATGCAAGCAACGACACAGGCCATGCTGGACGCTTGGGACCGCATCCTGCAAAGGCCAGCTGGGGCACGGGCGCAAGCCCATCTGGGTGCCATGTTACACCACCTTCTGCGCTGGGTGCTGGGAGCAAACCCAGTGGGTCTTGCTGCAGGAGCCAGCCCTGCTGGGGTCTTTGAGGAGACAACATCTGACCCTTGAAAGGGGAACAGGGTGGCAAGGCTCAGGCTCCACGGAGGCAGGGGGCGTACACAGCCAGCTGCAGGGGGCACAGCTGGCCCGGAGTCTCAGCCCCTGGGGCTGGCAGGGACCATAGCCAGAGTCCAAAGGGCCTTGGCCCCTCCAGGATTGGACAGCCAGTATGGATGGGCAGGGTCGCTGCTCACGCCAGCTGTGGGCTGGTGTGGGGGGTGGGGGTGGTTCCCGGGAGAGCTAGGACACCTGTCGGGGTCCCATCTGCTGGATAGGCCCCCAGGCCCCCTGCGGCAGGCCGGAGGTTCAGCACGGGGGCTTCCGGAGCCGCTGGGGAGTGGGTTGGCAGCGGCCGGGGACAGTGGCTAGACCCAGCGTCCCTGTCCTCTGTCGCGTGGGAAGCCAGAGCTGCAGGCTCTAGTTGTCCTGGCATGGGCAGCCTGTTCCGTCTGCGGTGTGCTAGATTTGGGGGTGCCTGGAGGGGGGGACCCATGCCTTCCTTTCTGTCTGTGGAATTCCTTGGCACGGGCAGGCAGCTGGCTGGGTCAGCGCCGTGTGCTCACCCTCTAAGCTGGGGCGCGGCAGGAGGACCCGGGTCCTTGGAGACCTGCTTATTTTGTCTGGGCCATAATGGAATGTGGCCACTGGATGTTTTCCCTCTGAGGCTGTGGAGGTTCACATCCCTGCCGAGGTGTGGGTGGCCCCTTTTCCGCCGGTAAACAGTCCCACACCTGGGGCCGTGCTTCTCCCCAGGGCGAGGCTGCTGTGCTGTTTTCCTGGGCTGCTCAAAAGCCAGGGTGAACTCTTGTGGGGCCGTCTGTCCTGCTGCTGCCTCCCCGGGGCAAGGTGTTAGAGCAGCCCCACCCGCAAACCTGCAGACCGGGCTGGCCACACAGAACCCACAAATGGGGGCTGGCCCCACAGAACCCCCCTCTGCAGCTCAGTGCTGAATGTTCTCGTCCCCGGTGGGACCCTGGCCTGAGAGAGGAAGGGCTCTGGGAATTCCGTCACCGACGGCTGCACACCCTGTAGGGCAGGTGGGTTCTGGAGGCCAGGCTGGAAGGCTTGGCTGAGTCGCCCATCCCCGTCCCCAGCAGGCCCTGCTGGGCTGTATCCTCCTGGAGACGGGTGTGGCCGCCACCCTGGGTGGTTTAGGCTGGGTCTTAGACTCGGCCAAGTGATGGTGTTCGCAATGCAACACTGAGTGCTGGCCGCGTGGCTGGAGGGACAGGGTGTCTACGGCACGTGTGGGCAACCCGGGGCCTCCTGTGGGAGGGAGCCGGCAACTCGGGTGGTCCAGGGGCAGCGGCATCAGCTTCCTGGGGCTTCTGTAGCAGATGACCCCCAAGAGAGGGCCAAGTGTCCAGAATGGGTTCCTTCTGCAGCCTGGAGGCCAGAAGCCCCAAATCAAGGGGTCCTCAGGGTCGGCTTTTTTCCACAAAACTCTTTGGGGGGGGACCATGGGAGGTCTTTCCTGCCCCTTCCAGCGCTGGTGGCCCCCCAGCAGCCTCGGCTCGTGACTGCGCTGCTCTGTCCCTGCACTGCCTCCGATCCCTGCGCTGCTCGATCCCAGGGCCTGCTGGGCGCCTGCGTGGGCCTTCTCTTCTGTCTCTTGCGGCCATCCCTGGACTTAGGGCCCCCTGGATGACCCAGGGATGACCTCATCCCGAGATCCTCAGTTCCATCCACAGAGACCCTGGTTCACAGGTTCTTGGTATGTGAACACATTTTATGGGCCACCATTTGGTCCACAACAGGGCCACTGGGACAGAGAAGGATCCAGAATCTGTATCCAGTAAGTCTGTGGGTGTCGTCACATTTCAGTCTGGAGGGTCACAAACTGGGCGTGGCATCGGGGAAGGCCCTGGAAGGTTTGGTGTAGGAAATCCACATTCTTCTCCTTCCCAGGGACAGGTCCCAGCCTGGCCCCCCGATCCCCAGAACGGCCTCACTCGGCCCACCACAGCCAGCTCCGCAGACAGCAGAGAGGGTGACCCTGGCCCAGGCGACGCCTCACTCATCCTGAGTGCTGGGCATGGCTGCGCATCACAGGGGCCCTGCTGGGGCTCGGGGTGGAGACAGGCCTGGCTGGGCTTTGGTGCCTGGGGGCGGAGGTCTCTCTTGTGACAGCTGCCTGTTAGAATGGGACAGGGGTGGTTTTGGTGACAGCAACTCTGGGTTCCCCAGTGTGGCCCAATTCCTGTCTCTGTTGGTCACGGGCCTGTTGTGTGGACTCCCGGAGCTTGGCCTGAGTGCACTTGGCACATGGCAGGCGACGGTCTGGTGGACAGTTCATGGGGGCTGTGGGCTCCAGCCTCACACACGGGCAAGTGACTGGGCCCCGCCTGCAGGGACAGATGTGCGTGGTGGAGAGTGATGCAGAGAGGGCCACTCACCCCGGGACAGGCTCAGCTTGCAGCAGAGGGCGGTGGGCCCTGGAGAGGGTGAGCCCACCCAGAGTCCAGAAAGGGAGAGCTTTGGAGGGGCAGGGGGACGTTTGAGCTGGGCCTTGAGGGCAAATGGAAGCTTTTGGAGGTGCCACCTTTTCCCCCCTTACCTGCTCTCTCCAGCTGGGTCCAGTCCAAGGACCAACATCTGCCTCTTCACCCAGCCTCTGGGGGCCACCAGGAGCATTTGAAATTCATTTTGACTTTTAAAAATGAGTAAAGAATGTGGCCAGGTATGGTGGCTTATGCCTGTAATCCCAGCACTTTGGGAGGCTGAGGCAGGAGGATCACCTGAGGTCAGGAGTTCGAGATCAGCCTGGTCAACATGGTGAAACCCCGTCTCTACTAAAAATACAAAAATTGGGCAGGTGTAGTGGCACACACCTGTAATCCCAGCTACTCGAGGGACTGAAGTGGGAAAATCACTTGAACCCGGGAGTTGGAGGTTGCAGTGAGCCAAGATCCTGCCATTGCACTCCAGCCAGGGCAACAGAGCCAGACTCTGTCTCAAAAAGAAAAAAATAAAAATAAAAAAGAGTAAAGAATGAAAACCCCAACTACGAGGCTCTTGCTATGTGAACGTTGCATCTGCCCAGCTCCGGAGAGCCCCCTGCCGGCCGTCTTTGGCCACTGCAGCCTGGCGGGCAGCCTGGACCGAGCTGGCTGGAGCTCTGGCCTCTGTCCCCGGCGCTGGATCAGTGGCTTCTCCTGGTCGGGTGCTGGGTCTAGGGATCAGATGGTCGGGCCTCAGAGCCTGCATGAGACTGAATGAGGCATTTCCAGTCCTCAGAGGGTGGGAGGGGAGCCGGGAGGGGCACAGACCCCAGGCTGGGGCATTGGGGGAAGCTCTCTGGAGAAGTGAGCTTCTGCAGTGTGAATAGGAGTTAGCTCAGCTGTCAGAGGGTAAGGGATGGAGAGGGGTGAAAGGGCACTTCAGACATTTCTGAGCACGAGTGGGCGTCCCGACGAGCTGTGTAGGAGCCCTGTTAGGTGGGGATAGGAGTCGTGAGGGTAGAGGAGGAGGAGGAGACAGGGCTGGGTTGTAGAGAGTTGGCTAACTGGACTAGTGAGCATTTTCATCATTGTCTCAGAGTAGTAGGGAGCCATTGAAGGTGCTTGAGCAGGGGGAAGTGTTTCGTATGCTAATGTTGACCCCTGGTGCAGATGAGCATGGAGGAAGAGGCTGACGGGCCAGAGAAGGTTTTGGTTGTGGTCCAGATGATGGAGGGCGAGGCCGCCCCAGGCAGCAGCTGCCTGGTTGAGGGGTGGGAGCCCTGTGGATTCCAGGAATGTGAAGAAGGTGGTGATGATGGACAAGGGGAGGAGGGGCGGCCCGGGAAGGGGGACCTTCTAGAGCTGTGCCCCTGGACTGGAGCTGCTTCAGGAGGGCAGAGGAGGGGTGGGAGCTGACACCCACTGCCAGGCTCCAGGCCTTCCTCCATCCGAGACTCACCAGGTGGGGCCACTCCCACATGCACAAGAAGCTGCCACCTTGGGGGTGGGGGGAGCTGAGGTCATGTTATCAAGACTTCTCAGTCCTGCCTACGCCTGCCTGGCATGAGCCGTCCAGGACACCCTGGTCACCCTGATGTTTGTTCTCTGAGGAGCTGGGATTCTGAGCACTGAAGATTCTGACATCAAGGGGCAGCCACGAGGGCAGTCAAGATTATTCCAACGGAAACCGTCTTAGATCTAATTGGCTCATTGAGTGTCTGCGTGGAAACCATGAGGGCAGTCAAGACTATTCAAACGGAAACCGTCTTAGACCTAAATGGCTCATTGAGTGTCTGCGTGGAAACCATGAGGGCAGTCAAGACTATTCAAACGGAAACCGTCTTATATCTAATTGGCTCATTGAGCGTCTGTGTGGAAACCACAAGGGCAGTCAAGATTACTCAAATGGAAACCGTCTTAGATCTAATTGGCTCATTGAGCGTCTGTGTGGAAACCACGAGGGCAGTCAAGATTACTCAAATGGAAACCGTCTTAGATCTAATTGGCTCATTGAGTGTCCACGTGGAAACCATGAGGGCAGTCAAGACTATTCAAATGGAACCGCCTTAGATCTAATTGGCTCATTGAGCGTCTGTGTGGAAACCACGAGGGCACTCAAGATTACTCAAACGGAAACCGTCTTAGATGTAATTGGCTCATTGAGTGTCTGCGTGGAAACCACGAGGGCAGTCAAGATTACTCAAACGGAAACCATCTTAGATCTAATTGGCTCATTGAATGTCTGCGTGGAAACCACGAGGGCAGTCAAGACTATTCAAACGGAAACCATCTTAGATTTAATTGGCTCATTGAATGTCTGCGTGGAAACCACGAGGGCACTCAAGATTATTCAAATAGAAACCGTCTTAGATCTAATTGGTTCATTGAATGTCTGTGTGAAACAGCATTTTCTTTCTCAAGCCAGTGAGTCCTGGAGTTAGTGCGGCAGCTTTTTCACTGGAGACATGTTTCTTAGGAAGCAGGTGCGACTGTAACGTGGGTAAGGTTTGCCTGCAGCTCGGCAACCCCAGTCTCTGTCCAGAGTGGGAGCTGCCCTGAGCCCCACAGGCCGTGGCCTTCTGCTTGCATCCTGCTGACTCTGTCCTGCTTCTCTGTGTCTCCCACGCTGTTTCCTGCGGTGTGACAAACCCTCCCACACCTAGCGGCTGGCGGCTGTTCCCTAGCTGGCGATTCTGTGGGCCAGGGATCTGGACGGGGCTCAGTGGGGACAGCTCATCTCTGACCCATGGGGTGCTGCCTGGGGTCCCTCAGGCAGTGGCATTTGGCTATGGTGGGGCCCAAACGCCCAGGAAAACGCTGTGCCGGCTGTTGGTTGGGTTGCTCAGTTTCCCTCCAGGAACCTCACCCTCTGATAGGACAGCCTGGGCTTCTCAATAGGTTCCAAGAGGGCAGAAGCAAAAGCTGCCAGGCCTCTGATGGTCTTGGGGCAGGGCTGGGAGAGCATCCGTCGTGCCACTTTATGCCAGAGCCATTACTGGCTGGCCCTGATTCCAGGGAGGGAGTGGACCAGCCTCTTGAGAAGGGGCAGCCTCCGAGGGCAGGGGTAGGGGAAGCGAGTGGCTGGCTTTGCTGTGGCCACACCTGTGTGATACAGTAAAATGGGGCAGGCCCTGTTCTTCCCGCCTTTCCCCAAACATACAGGCAAACAGGGAACATGCACACGCTGTGTTGGGGAAGGGCAGGGCGGGGTCGGCAGCCTCTCACCTATTTCCTTCCACCCAAGGCTGAGCACTGGGGGTCTCCTGGTTATGGGTGCTTGGCTGGACACTGAGACCACAGGCAGCTCAGGCTCCCTGCCAGCAAGGTGCTCAGCCTGGTGGCCAGGACAGCAGCAGACGGGGCTCTGCCCCAGAGGAGGCGTCTGTGAGAGCATCACAGAGGGGCTGTTGGAGTCAGGGGACTGAAGGGGGCCAGGGGCCAAGAAAAGCATCATGAAAGGTGTTGTCATGTGACCTGAGTTTGGAAAGGTCAGGGGTGTTCTAGGTGGCCAGGGGTATGGAAGGTGGGGATAGCAGCCTCCTGAGTGGAGATGTAGGGGTGGGAAGGGTGGGACGGCAGCCTCGTGAGTGGAGATGTAGGGGTGTGAAAGGTGGGGATAGCAGCCTCCTGAGTGGAGATGTAGGGGTGTGAACGGTGGGCCGGCAGCCTCGTGAGTGGAGATGTAGGGGTGTGTAGGGTGGGCCGGCAGCCTCGTGAGTGGAGATGTAGGGGTGTGAAGGGTGGGACGGCAGCCTCCTGAGTGGAGATGTAGGGGTGTGTAGGGTGGGGCGGCAGCCTCCTGAGTGGAGATGGCGGGCACACCAGGTGTGCAGAGGGAGCTTTGAGCATTCCCAAGACTGTGGGGGGCTGGGTAGGAGCAGGGAGCCTGTGGGCAGGGGTGGAGCATGAACCCAGGGAGGACCAGTGAGAGCCCAGCCGTGCGGTGTCCTGGGAGGCCATGGCCCGACGACTCGGCAGACCAGCATTGGAGATGGGCGTCTTCCTCCAGGGCCACTGATGCTGGCGTGGATGGGGGTGGCTGGCGAGGGTGCCATGTGGGCACGTGGGGGCCCGAGGCTGGTGGTGGGCTGTGCTCCAGGCCTTGCCAAGCCAACTGTGTCTTCGGGGTGAGTGATGCTCCAAGACGCCCCGTGGAATGTGGGGCCGGCTCCACTCCTTCCGTAATGCGGTTTTTTATAGTCGGGGGACTCACTGTCCCGCGGCCGCTGCCAGCTGTCTGTAAGCTCAGGATTAGAGAGCCGGGCCTTTCGTGAGAGCTGGGGCCGGGCCGGCTGAGCCCTTCACAGGGAGGGCCAGACCACGGGGACGGCGAGCGACTGCCTGGCACTGTGAGTGAGCCAGCCAGCAGACAGCATGATGGCCTTCTCCTCGCCTGCCCCCAGGGTCTGGTGCAGGCTCTCTTCTGCCCACCCTACCCAGCTTGGGAGCCCCACCCCATCACCGCCCTCCTGAGCCTCTCGGGGCGCCCTCCTGGATGGCATCGCAGCGGGCATTGGCCTCCCCTCCATGCCCCACCTCTGCTTCGGGTCAGGAGCACCCCTCACGCACAGCAGGACTGGAAGCCCCATGGGGCCAGGAGGTGCCCAGGGGTCAGGGGACTTGGACTTGAGTCCACCTCGTGGCTGTGTGACGGTGGACAGGTGGCATCCCCTCTCTGGGACTCAGTGTCCTCGTCACTAAAGCAGGAATGGCGCTCTCCCATGACCCGGTCTGGGGACACTGCATGGAAGGAAGCATCCACAGCACCAGGTACTGCTCGCCCTCGTGTGCCCGGGGTGGCCGCCAAGGGCCCGGCAGCATTGCCATGTGTCGAGGCTGGCCCAAGTTCTGTGTCCCTGGAATCTACAGCCTGCATTCTGTGAAGGCGGAGCGTGACTGGGTGGCAGGCAGCGGGGGTTCTAATGCTGAGATTTCCCTTCCCCACCCCTCCTGCCCGCCCCGGCGCCTTCCCTCCTGCGTGCCTTTCTTTGGGCAATGGGCAGAGGCCCCAGAGCGGGCGGGATTCCTGTGAGGTGACGCCAGCCGGAGTGTCCAGCCGGGTGCAGCCAGCCCAGTCGTCCATTCACGCAGCCACCAGCGCTTCATTCACCCCTGGCGGGGAGGGCAGCGCCCCTGTGACTCGCAGCTGGGGCTTCTCCATGGGTGGGGACTGTGTCGCTCTGCCAGCGACGCTGAGGTGGCCCCCAGGGGCCCTCCTGCTGCTGTGGGCGTGCAGGGGTGGGTGCTGGCCCCAGCATGCTGCACACGACCTCAGGGTGGCACCCACACACTGGGAGCTCCAGCTTCCCCATGAAAGATGACTGAGGAGATGGGGAGGCCGCCTAAGGTGGGGAGGACACGGTGCTGGCCAGCAGTGACGGACTGTGGGCAGGTGTTGTGCCACGCCTTTTGCAAACATCTGATCGCAGCCCTCATGACAGCCCCAGGGAAGGAAGTGCGGTCACACCGCAGCCGTCCTAGGATGTCACCCCAGCTCCAGATGGCACAGCTCCCTTCTGTGGCCGTGGAGCCCTGAGGGGACCCTACTTGATGTCTCTGGGATCTCCTGGCTGCTTCATTTGCCCTCAAGACGGCTGAGGGGGCGGGGTCGCTGGGCCCTTGGGGCAGAGGAGGGACTGATCAAGTACCTGCCGGGTGGCGGAGCAGCCACATCCCCCATCCCCAAAGCAGGCCCAGAAGGCAGGTGTGTGGGCAGGGCACCCCTCCCTCCTCCCCACGCCCTGTCCGCTGTGGGACCTAGGATGGGCGGAGCAGCACTCACCCTGGCGCCCAGCAGCCCAAGCTGTTCCAAGATGCTGCCAAGTTAGAAGGGCACGGTGGGGTCCGTGGGGAGTGCAGAGGCTCTGGGGACCCGGATTCGCGGGGCCAGGCAGGGTGTCAGCTCTGAGCACCCGGATTCGTGGGGCCGGATGGGGTGTGGGCTCTGGGCACCCGGCTTCACGGGGCCAGGCGGGGTGTCGGCTCTGAGCACCCCGCGTCGCGGGGCCAGGCGGGGTGTTGTCGGCTCTTGACGGAGTTTGCTCTGGTTTCCTGCGTTCCTCCTCTTCAGGGTCCCCAGCCCGCACTCGGGCCAGGCTGACCTGTCTCTGTCCTTCCTCTGCAGGGGCTGGTGTCTTCTTCCTGTCCTCGGCCGAGGGGGAGCAGATCAGCTTCCTGTTCGACTGCATCGTCCGAGGCATCTCCCCCACCAAGGGCCCCTTTGGGCTGCGGCCGGTTCTCCCAGGTGTGTGAGCCTGGCCGACTGGGGAGGGTACGCTTGGCGGGCTGTGCGATGTCCTGGGGCGGTGGGCCATGGTGATTCATCTGCCTGGTTAGGCGGCCACCCTTCCCACCCCCAGCTAAGGAACCAGAACCTTTCCAGGCCAAGACTGCAGCCTGGGCTTCGGCAAGCCTTGCTGAGGGCTTCAGAGCAGTCGGGGCTGGACTCCCACCTGCAGGTGCTCTCTCGGGGGTCTGAGCTGTTGGGATGCTTGGGCCTAGAGCTTTCTGGCTGGGACCGTCAGCCACAGCTGCCCCTGTGCAGTAAGAGACCCTCTGACTCACCGCCACCATCTTCCACGCCCAGGAGCAGGGAATGCCTTGCCCGAGCTTGGCGGCCCAGTAGCAGCTGATCTGACTCTGCAGCTGGGGTCGGGACTGGCTCTGCCTGAGCCCGGTGTTTAGGCCCAAGGCTACCTCGGGAGGTCACCTGGCTGTGGGGTCTCAGGGCACGTTGGGCTGAGGGGGTCTCGTCTTGTCTCACCTGTACTTCCTTGGCTGTGGCTGTGGCACTCTCTGCAGGAGTCCCTGGCCAGGGATGTTGCTGGACCCACCGGGGGCCCTGGTGCCTGGGCACAGTGGGGCTCTCCAGGTTGGGGCAGGTGCTGGGCTGGGTGCCTCCATGGGTTCTCTCGAACGCTCCTCTAGCTCCACGCGGGCAGCGCATGACCCAATGTCCAAGTGAGGCCAAGGCCCAGGCCACGTGGCGGGTGAGCAGCAAGCTCATATGTGGTGCCTCCTGGCACTGGCACCCCAGCCGGGGTGTGGCGGGGGAAGGGTGACTGGGAGGACAGAGGTGAGCAGCATATGGGGCGGGCACCCGGGCCTCCCTTCCCCTGGCCACAGCCCCAATGCCCGCTGCCCACAGCCCCAATGCCCGCTGCCCACACCAGCACAGTCACATAGGGGGCGGCCCTGGGAGGAGGGAGGTGGCACCTGTGGCCAGGGCCCTCCCCACTGCCCTGCTATGCTGGATGACGCGGCCGCACCCCTGCAGGCGTCTTCCTGCCTAATGGCTGCCAGCAGGTATGGATGGTGTGGTTGGCATGGATGACGTGGTCGGCGTGTTCGACTGTGCAAGGCGAGGGTGTGCAGGGTGCAGGGCGGGGACAGGGACAGGCAGAGGCAGCAGGAGGCTGAGGAGGGCTCCCTGCTCTCTCCTGCTCCCCTCAGGCGGTTCCCAGGGAACAGAGGCCGTGCCAGGGAAGCAGCACTGGGTAGAGGATGCTGGGGAGGGTCGGCCTGGGACAGCCGCTAGACAGGACAGGCCCCACTGCGGCAGCAAGCGGGCCAGCCCCAGGCAGGGTCATTGCTGACAGCTGGAGGGAGTTGGGCTGACCAGAAGTCCCAGACCCCACTCCACAGGATGTCCTTGTCAGAGTCAGCTGGGAGCTCTCAGAAAGCTCTGCTGTCAGGGCCTCGGCCTGCAGCTGTGCCCCCCAGCTGTGCCCCCAGCTGTGCCCCCAGCTGTGCCCCCAGCTGTGCCCCCCAGCTGTGCCCCCCAGCTGTGCCCCTGCAGGTGTGTGGGGGCCTCAGGCCACCTGGAGGTGCTGGTGGAGCTGGGACACTATGCTGGGCAGCACCCCGCCGGAGGAGCCGTGGGCCCAGCCCCTGCAGGCTGGAGTCATGGGAAGGTCTGGGCTGGTGGGGTCGTCTGCCTAGGCTGGCAAAACACTGGCGCCCTGTGATCACAGGGCTCCCACGATAAAGCCCCGCGGGCAGCATCCTCATGCTCTGGGCTTTCTGCCATCCTCCTGTGCTGAGTCTGCTGTGACCCACCGGAGGGGCCGAGAGATGCAGGAGGTCCAGCCCCTTGGTCTTCTGCACGTGGACACCAAGGCCCAGAGGCAGCCAGACCCGCCAGCAGCAGGAGGGGAGGGCTCAGAGGCCTGGCGTCCGCCACGCTCCGAGCACGGCGTGCATGTTACCTTCTTGGCCCGGCCTCCACGGGGGTGCACTGTTGCTGTACCCTTTTGCAGATGAGGTTGAGAGGCTCAGGGGGTGCATGGTGGAGCTGGGAGTCGATCTGTGTCTTGCCCACCAGCTACTGGATGGGAAACGGTGGGAGGTTGTGTCCTGCGTCCTGACCCTGGTGTCACCGAGGGCCGCTCTTCATCCCAACTGCAGGGCACTGGCTTTGTGGGGGGCCCTGGTCGGAACGCCCGAGGGCTGAGGGACAGTGGTGCTGTCCTGTCACTGTGCTTGTCTTCAGCCTGGACCCTCAGCACACCAAGGAGCCAAGACTGGCGCCTGCTGTCCTGCCCACGTGGCAGAATGTGTCAGTGAAAGCGCCAGGAGCTGCCAAGCCGAGTGGCCTGTGGGCTCCATGGCCACCAGCAGGCTGTGTCGGGAGGGACTGGGGCCTGAGCTGGCACAGCCTTGGCTGCCATTGCCTTCCACCCTGCCAGGCACAGGTGGGGAGGGGACAGGAGAGAGGCTTGTACTGGCCCCATTCCTGTCCCTGGCAATGGTACAGATGGGGCCACAGGGTCATGGGCTGGCAGGGCCCCAGGCTGACCTGGGCAGTGTCTTGGGGCAGCCATACCCGGAGGCTGGGGGAGGCTCCTCCAGGTCCTTCTTGCGTTCCTGGGCCGGGTGCTGTGAGCTCTCGCCTGCCCGTGGGGAGGGCCCTGTTCTGAGGTCCTGATGGGGCCTCCTGTTGTGCTCAAGGGCCCCAGCTGGGCGCCTGAAGGTGTCAGCAGAGGACAGTGTCTTATCAGGGATGGGGCCTCTTCAGCCTAGACGTGAACCCGGACAGGGACATCATTGCTTTCTGTTTGTTTCTCCGGAACCCTGACTACGGGGTCAGGATGTCCGGCTCCAACCTCCGCCAGGCTCGGTTCTGTCCACCGAGGCTCTGATCCAGGTGTCCCAGGCTGGGGACTGTACCTTCCAGTGCTCTGTGTGCTGCAGAATTTGGTGTAAACTTTCCATGCTGCCACTGCTCCTGGATTTTGGGGAGAGCAGGTCCTTGGACCTGTTTCGGCTCAGTCCTGCAGGTGCCCCCAAGGTGGGTGGCAGGAGGTGTGTCCTGGAGGCCCAGAGGAGGCCACCTGGAGCAGGACGGGGTCAGTTTGCTCTTGTGCTTGTAGCTGTGGCTTCCCTGCCAGGGAAACTCTTTGGGACGGCTGTGGCCGTGGGTGCCATGGATGTGGAAGGGGCGGGGTCTTGAGCCCTGCTGTTTGGAGCAAGGCAGCCACTCAGCCTAGTGCCCACATCACTTAGTGCCTGGGACATCCCAGCACGGGCGGGGGCTTTGGGACCAGGGCAGTGATGCTGAGGCTCGGGACAGCGGTGCCGAGGGGCCAGTGAGAAGGGAGGTTTCCTGCCACTCAGTCCCAGAGGACCCAGAGGACACAGGGACAATGGCCAGAGAGGGTGGGGCTGCTGCTCCCTGGATGCAGCCCTGAGGGGAGGGGCTGGGTGGGGCCGAGGGTCCGCAGACCACTGTGCTCTGAGCCTCGGGCACAGTATGAGGCTCCATCCAAGGCCCCAGGGAATGGTGGGACCGCCACAAGGTGGGCGGGCATTTCCCCAGGCGGAGAGGAGCCTGTGAGAAATGGGCACCATGAATCAGGGGCGGGCAGCCCCTCTTGCAGCGAGACTGGCCCTGGGGATGGGGGAGGGGCTGGCCATTTTTGGAACAAAAAATTGAAAAACTCCGTGGCGAGGAAGAGGGGTCTGGCCCGCGTGGGGTCCTGGTGAGTGGACAGGTGGCAGGGCCATCCATGGGTGCAGGGACCCAGCAGGGCGGATGGTAGCCTAGATAGGGGTGGTGTGGGTGCAGCATTTGAGGCCCAGCATCTGGGCTGAGGCATGGGGAGAAGCGGGGACTTCCAGGGGACTGCCACTCCACGGAGGGGGCCACCACCGCGTCAGGCTGGGCCTGGTGCCTGCGGGCAAGGGTGGGCGGTGGGGGCCACTTCCTTCACTGAATCTTCTCTCTGCTGCAGACCCAAGTCCCCCGGGACCCTCGACTGTGGAGGAGCGCGTGGCCCAGGAAGCCTTGGAAACCCTGCAGCTGGAGAAGCGGCTGAGCCTCCTCTCGCATGCAGGCCGGCCGGGCAGTGGAGGTGGGGCCAGGGGCTGGCCTGGGCTGTGGGACTTCAGCTAAGCCTCCAGTGGGACAGCTCAGGAGGCATCCATGCATGTGTGGGGGCTGCTGGCTCCCTCTGCTCATTCATTCCTTCCTTCCCCCTAACCCACTCATTCATCCTTCCTTCCCCCTAACCCACTCATTCATCCTTCCTTCCCCCTTCCCCCACATTCATCCTTCCTTCCCCCACATTCATCCTTCCTTCCCCCACATTCATCCTTCCTTCCCCCACATTCATCCTTCCTTCTCCTCCTGCTCCTTCCTTCCTTCTTCCTCCTGCTCCTTCCTTCCTTCTTCCTCCTGCTCCTTTCTTCCTTCCTTCTCCCCCTGCTCATTCCTTCCTTCCTTCTCGCACCGCTCATTCCTTCCTTCCTTCCTTCTCCCCCTGCTTATTCATTCCTTCCTTCCCCCGCCCACTGCTCATTCATTCCTGCATTTCCCTCCTGCTCATTCATTCATTCCTTCCCCGCCTGCTCATCCATTCATTCCTTCTCCCCCTGCTCATTAATTCCTTCTCCACCTGCTCATTAATTCCTTCTCCACCTGCTCATTAATTCCTTCTCCACCTGCTCATTCATTCCTTCCTTCTCCCCCTGCTCTTCATTCCTTCATTTCCCTCCTGCTCATTCATTCCTTCATTCTCTGCCTACTCATTCATTTCTTCATGTCCCTCTTGCTCATTCATTCATTCCTTCTCCTCCCTGCTCATTCATTCCTTCATTTCCCTCTTGCTCATTCATTCCTTCATTTCCCTCTTGCTCATTCATTCCTTCATTTCCCTCTTGCTCATTCATTCCTTCATTTCCCTCTTGCTCATTCATTCTTTCTTTCTCCTTCCTGCTCATTCCTTCTTTCCGTCTCCCACCTATTCATTCCTTCCCTCTTTCTTCCCCTGCTCAGCTCATTCCTTCCTTCACTTACAATTCCACATTTACTACACTCTGGTCTGAGATGCTGATGGGAAGGGTGGTTCTGGCCTGAGAGCCTTTGAATCCTTTCCTGCCCACCAGCTTGTGGCCGGGGGAGACCAAGGCCCTGCGTGTTGGTTTTACCTTCTGTGCCCAGACAAAAGGCTCTCAGGCAGGCGAGCTAGCTGCTCAGGAGCAGAGGTGCCTCCTCAGCTGCCGGTGGCTCTGGTTCTGTTGCCATCGTGGGGAGAGGAGGCGGTGGAAGGGGCTGGCAGGGCAGGAGAGGCCGCTGTGCTCCCAGAAGGGTGGCTGCATGGGCGACCTGTGTTCCCAGGGCCAAGTGCTCTCGGATCACTGCCTGTTCCCCGGAGGGCACCGAGCAGACAGTGGCCATCTCCCCTCCTGCCCTGCCCCAGGAGGAGGGGACTCAGGTTTGCAGTGAGCTTTTGCCTTCCTGGGGGTGACTCACAACTGCTTTCCCCTTGGGAGCCCTGGAAGGCAGAGCAGGCAGCTTAGAGAGGCAGCAGAGATGAAAGCGGCTTTCCCACGCGTTCGCGAGGCCTGGCCTGGCAGGCGGGAGGCAGCCTGGGTGTGCTTCTCATCCCCCGTGGGGAGGGAGACAGGGAGTGAGGCAAGGATGCCAGCGTGGTGAGGGCAGGCGGTGAGTCAAGGTATGTGGGCACAGCTGGGACCTCACGTCCAGGCTGGCAGGGCCTGGGAAGTTCTCGGGAAGGGATGTCCAGGCCAGCCTTGGGGCTGGGACGGTGCAGAGGGCCAGCTGCCCCAGGAGGCCCTGGAAGTTAGTGGGGATGGCTCGGTATGGAGCCCAGGTCTCTTAGGAAGGGAGGGTGGGGAGCTCTGGGGGAGAGGAGGAGGCTGGTACTAAGGTAGTGACAGGGATGCTGAGAGGAGGGGCCCAGGCCCTAGTGGAGCAGCAGGTGGCAGAAGGACAGACAAAAACAGGAGTGGACGAGGGGCAGAGGGGCTGTCGTTGGTGAAGCCACGTTTCTGCTGTAGCCCCCAGGGGTTGGGAGGGGTGGGGCGAGACCAGAGAGTGCTGGCCCGTAGGGATCCACCAGGCGTCAGCCCCACCCTGAGCCCTCCCCAGCCCCACCCTGAGCCCTCCCCAGCCCCCTGCACCCCCCCAAGCTGCCTTGGCTTCCTGCTCTGTCTCAGGGGATGACCGCAGCCTGTCCAGCTCATCCTCGGAGGCCAGCCACTTGGACGTCAGCGCCAGCAGCCGGCTCACCGCGTGGCCAGAGCAGTCCTTGTCGTCGGCCAGCACGTCGCAGGAGGGGCCTAGACCAGCAGCTGCCCAGGCCCCCGGGGAAGCCATGCTGGGTGCCTCAAGGCCACCCCCCAAGCCGCTGCGGCCACGGCAGCTGCAGGAGGTCGGCCGCCAGAGCTCCTCGGACAGCGGCATCGCCACTGGCAGCCACTCCTCCTACTCCGGCAGCCTCTCGTCCTATGCGGGCAGCAGCCTGGACGTGTGGCGGGCCACGGACGAACTGGGCTCACTGCTCAGCCTGCCAGCAGCCGGGGCGCCCGAGCCCAGCCTGTGCGCCTGCCTGCCTGGGGCCGTCGAGTACCAGGTGCCCACCTCCCTGAGGCCCCACTACGACACACCACGCAGCCTTCGCCTGGTTCCCAGGGACCACAGCCCTGCCTCGCAGGGCAGCCCCGGCGACAGTGCGGCCGGGGACTCAGGCGGCCAGACGTCCGCCGGGTGTCCCTCTGGCTGGCTGGGCACGAGACGGCGGGGCCTGGTGATGGAGGCCCCCCAGGGCAGCGAGGCCACACTGCCCAGCCCGGCCCCCGGCGAGCCCTGGGAAGCAGGCAGCCCCCACGCGGGGCCATCCCCGGCTTTCTTTTCGGCATGTCCAGTCTGTGGAGGACTCAAGGTAAACCCCCCTCCTTGAGAGCCACAGATCTGGCCTCGCGGCTGCAAAGGGGCTGAATGTGCCCCCAGACGGGAGAGGAGGTGGCGCTGGCCTCCTTGCTCTGTGTTCTGTGGGAGGGACTGGGGGGTCTCCCGGAGAGGGGAGTTGGAGGGGGCGCCCTGTGGCTGCCAGTGGAGGAAGCGGCTGATGGGGAGGTGAGTTCTGGGAGGCAGGGGCTCTGGGTCCGGCAGGTCGGGGTCACCAGAGCCCCAAGGCCCAGCTGCTTCACTCTGTGTCCCCCAACCCTGAGGATCAGGCGGGTGCTGCATCTCTGCTGGCTGGTGCCTCGCACTGGGGCGCCAAGGGCTGGAGGCCCCGCTGCTGGCCTTGTCCTCCTCGGGCCTCACGCCTGCTTCCCGGGTGGCCAGTTCTCCCCGTCACCTCTCTGGTGCAGTCACACCACCTGCTAAGCACCAAGCCACCACAGAGACCCCGGACACCCGGGCTCCGTGTGTGCTGGCCCTCGTCCCCTTCTATGGGAGAAACTGAAGCTCAGGAGGCTGCGTGACTTGCGGGGTCTCTGGGGTGTGGGCCCTACTGCTCCCCGATGAAGCCCTTGTGGGGAGGCTCTGGCAGCCCGCAGTGTCCTTGGAGCAGCCTCGCCTGCTGACCCCGCTGGGGGGCGCCGCGTGCCCCAGGTCCCTGGTGGGAGCCCCGCTGGCTCCCGTCTGCACCTCCTCGCGGGGCCAAATGCTGCCTTGGCATCTGGAGGCTCCGGGCCCTGTCCGTGTTTCCCCAGGCCCAGGGCTCAGCCCCGCTTGGTGCTCAGCAGCTCTGCGTCGGAGGCGGGGCTGCGTCTGGCCCATTGTCCACGCCCTGGGTGGCTTCCTCTCGCACAGCCTGGAGCCGGCCCTGACCACGGTCCAGCAGCTCCCTGTGAACACCTCGCTTTGTCCCTTCGCTGTCGGCCGTTTCTAAACCCGGACACTGTTTGTAATACATTCTTAGACTGGAAATAAAATGTTCTTTTCTTACCACCTTGTCCTCCTCCGTTGCCCAGCCACCTCACCTGCCCTCCACGCGGGGCCTCTGCCTGGATCCCAAGTCCCCGGGCCGGCCTCCTTGGCCTTTGTTTCAGAGAGTGCGAGAGGCCTCATCCGTCTTGTCAGCCTTGGGCCTGAACGCTGTGGTGTGTGGAGAGGCGGCTCTGGGCAGCCCTCGGGCTGGGATGTGCACGTGTGGTGTGTGGGGTATGTGTGGTGTGTGTGTGCACATGTGGCACATTTCTGGGTGTGTCCTGGAGACCACAGTGGGGTCTGCAGTACTCCCTCAGGCTCAGGCATCGGGCTCCTCAGGTCCGGGTGAGGGTGGACCCTCCAACCCCAGGCCAGGAGGGGCTGGCTCTGAGCCCGGGGTCCCTGCCCTGCCTGTCTCCCCGATATGGCGCCGAGTTCCAGGCTTGTCTCAGTCACCCCTGCACATCCTGTGGGGGTGCCTGCCTGCCCCTGGCCTGCCCCTGACCGACTCTGACAGGGGAGTCCTGGAGGGGTTTCTGCAGCGGTGCCTGGTCTCTGAGCCTCAGTTTCCTCTTGTAAATGGGATGACAGACCTTGCCTCGCTGGGCTGCACTGAGGGTGTGATGAGGTCATTCTTCAGGTACTCAGTAGCTGCCCGTCACCATCGCCCTCGCTGCTGGCACCTCCGGAGGTGGCCGCGCCAGTCTTGTTGCAGGACGAGTGAGGCTGTGGCTCCTCTGCTGGGAACCCGGACCCTCCCGGCAGAGTCCTCGTCATCCACACTCGGCCCTGTGTGTTCCCACCGTCGTCTGCCCAAGGCTGGGGGGGCAAGGTCCCTCTGGCGAGAGCAGACCGGGGCACCCCAGGGTGGCCTGGGGGTGGTGTGGGGTCGTGGAGCCTCTTGCTGGCGGGTCTGGGTCCCTGGACAGCCTTTCCCTGTGGGGATGCGGCCGGGCCGTCTGCTGCTCCCCACTATGCTTGTGAGTGGCCTCGCTCCGGGTGTCTGAAGGTTCCGGCCACCGCCTGCTACAGCAGCCCAGGGTCTCCAGCCTCGGTACCCAGTTCCCAGGTGGGTGGCCAACAGGCTGGAGGCTTCTCCTCAGGCTGGGGGCAACCAGATGGGTCAGACACTGGTTCTGTTTTCTTGCTGCCCCCGGAGCACCTGGGCCTGGCCAGGCAGGGGACAGGGTGGACCTTTGCTGGTTTGGGCTCTGCACCATCCGCACCTGCCGGCCTGGCCCCCCGGGAGCAGCTGGGGACAGGCCCCCTTGGGGCCTGTGTGTGTGATGACCTCAGGGGGTGTTGGCCTTTTGTCAAAGGTTCTCAAAGTCTAGACCAGCCCAGTTTGCTCAGGGGGCCTCATCTGAGGGTCCCAGCCCTGTGACTGTCTGGCCTGGACCAGAGATAGGTTCTGAGCCTCAGTTTCCAGCCTCCCAGCACCCACCCACACGAGGCCCCTCAGAACAGGAGGGTGCTGCGTCCTCTTTCTGGCCACCAGCCGCCAGAGCCCGTGTGGGGCATTCTCTTGGGCTGGCCTCGCTTCCGCTTGTCCAGGCCGGAGGAAGGCAGGAAGCCTCTGTGCTCAGCCGTGGGCCGCTGTCCCTCCCGCAAGTGGCCTTCAGACCCCACCCCAGGCTCCTTCAGGGACTCAGGGCACCTTCTGTTAGGCACAGCCCACTTCAGAGGCTCAGGAGGAGGTGACCTGCAGTGTCGGGGAACTTTGCTCATCTCATCTGGGGCCTCCCAGTGGGGCATTTTCCAGGGGCACCCCCCTGCGGATCCCTCCCCGCCAGCGTCTGAGAGCAGGGCCCACACCCTGGAGGATGAGAAAGGAAATCACGGCCGCCCTTGGAGCAGCCTCTCAGCTCTGAGGTCGGAGCCCAGACACTGCCTCATATGGGCGTGGTCCTCCTCCAATAAACCTGTAGTAGCAAAATAGTGGGGCTGGACTGGGCCTCGGGGCTCAGAACTGCCCGCTCCCCAGATGCCAAAGCCTCCACCTCCCCCATGGGTGGTTATGGGGGCTACCGCCAGGCTGTGTGGTCAAGGTGGTGGGCGACCCGGAGATCTGGGGGCTGTGGGGCAAAGGGCCCTGGAGAGAAGGCATCAGGGATGGCGGGCTGGACTCCCTGTAGGTGGCCCAGGTCCCCCAGCCTGTGTCAATCTTGGGGGTAGTGTCCTTGTTCTCAGGGGCCCTGGGCATAGGATGAGGGGAAGCCTAAAGGGTGCACTGACCGGGTTCTCTTTGGTTTAGGGAGTGGCCGCCTCAGCCCCGGGACCCGCGACAGCACATTCAGGTAGGCACCTGGAGCCGGTCCCCCAGAGCTCCGGGACAGGGAGGTGGGAGTCTGGGTGGGCGCAGATGGCAGAGTTTGGCTAGATGGGGATGGCGGGGGCCCACAGCCAGCGGGAATGTGGGCAATGGGGTGAAAGTGGGTGTTGGGTAACAGTGGATGTTGGGTGATAGGTGGCAGTGGTTGCTGGCTGGCAGTGGGTGTTGGGTGGCAGTGGGCAGTGGGGGTGAGTCCCAGCCCAGGTGTGGACAGCAGGGCAGTGGGTAGAGGGCAGGCTGCTGGCTCCGTGTGGCCTGGACGAGTGTGGTCTGTCTCAGAAGCACCTGCTGAGAGCGGCCAGTGGGCAGCTGGACGATGGACTGAAGGTTTGGAGACACAGACTGGGGTCCGTGCGTCCCCAGGCAGGGAGTATGGACCTGTTTCTGGGAGGGGGCATGGCAGGAAGGCAGTCAGGGTTGGGGTCCAGGAGCCCCAGCTCAGGAGGAAGGGCTGTGTCCTCAGAGAGCGGAGGGGACCTGTGGAGGCTGGGCTGGTGGTAAGCGACTTAGTGAGGGGCAGGGCATTGGTGCCCTGGCAGTTGCAGTTTTGGGGCCAGGTGGGGAGGGAGGGCCAGGCAGGGAGGCAGTGGGAAGGTGCCGGTTCCCAGGGTCTCCCTAGAGAAGCCTGGCAGTCACTGGGGACAGAGCCCTGCTGAAGGTTGGGCAGGGCTGAGAGAGGCTGGAGGTGAGGCGGTTGGCCTGGGGTGGACGGGTGGCATCAGGGCCAGTTCTGTGCCTCAGTTTCCCTGTGGAGTAGGAACCACTGCAGGCTGAACCTTGGATTCCTCAATCTCTTCTTCCCAGGCAGGTGGCACCTACAGCGGGGGCAGGGTCCAGGCAGACCTGGAGGGGACACCCAGTGTTGGGGGTGGGGCCCAGGCAGGCCTGGAGGGGACACCCGGGGATAGGGGCAGGGCCACAGGCAGGCAGGGACAGCTCGGGAAAGCCCCCTTCAGCCGGCCTTGGCCCTGGGCTGGACACTGATCCCTGCAGTCCAGAGTGCTGAGGCCAGCCCTGCCCCAAGGGTCCTCCTGGGCAGCCTGCTGTTGCCTCCCCAAGGCCACCCATACCCTTCAGATGTCTTTTACCCAGACACGGGTGCCCTGGGACAGAGGTGTGGGGGTCAAGCGGACAGGCCCGGTATCTGCTGGAGGATGTGAACCTTTTCCACAGAGGCCGAGGGCTCGGGAGGGGCGTCCGGCGTCTGTCATGGGACAGAGGTGAGCCAGGCCCGTGTGGTGGTGTCGGGCCGCCAGCCCAGGTCAGGGTCCGGGAGGAGGGTGCAGAAGGGCCAGTCCATTCCCGGTTGCTGCTTCACAGAAAGAGTGTCTGAGGTACTGGAAGCCACGCTCACAGAAGCCAAAGAAAATCCAAGTCCCGAGGAGGGGACGGGAGGAGGAGCTCTGAGGGCCCTGGAGCCAGTGGCCGTGGGGGAGATGCAGCTATGGACACGCCCCGGCCCAGCGCTGCTTACAGCCCCCGCGCGACCCCAGGTGGTGTTGGGAACCTTCGTCCCCTTTCCCTGCAGTCAGGCCTCATGCTCCTTCCTGCTTCCACCCTTGCCCCTCACTGCCCACCCTTGGGGGACAACCTTGGAAGAACGGATGCGATCTTAAAACTAGGTACCAGGCTGCAGGGGGGTGTCCAGCCCCACCGTGGGCAAGCCCCGGCCCCACCCCTTGACTTCGATGCCCCCTTTCCAGACTCCAGGTCCCAGCGCTCCCCTAGCTCTCCCCTAGCTCTCCCCTAGCTCTCCCCTAGCTCTCCCCTAGCTCTCCCCTAGCTCTCCCCAGGCCCTCACCACACCTGCCTCTCCCACCGCCCCTTCTTGGCCTCGGCTCCTCAGCCGTGTCCCCTCCTCCAGGCAGCTGGCCCTGATGCCCCTGTCCCTGCTGGCCCAGGTGCCTGCCTGGGCACCAGAACTTGGCCACTGTGGCTCATCTCGATGAAGGGGTCCTGGCATTCTGAGAGGAGACCAGCCCTCTAGGACCACACATTTGCAGGACGGAGGTCTCCCCAGGGCCTCGGGGCCTGGCAGGGTTGGGGCAGAACTGTGTTGGCTACTTTAGTTCGTGGAATCAGGTGAGCGAACCCACATCGACCTGGGCTCTGTCTTGCTCTGTCCCGGCTGCTGCCTGCAGAATCAGCGAGTCAGGTCTCTCTGGCCTCAGTCTCCCCACTGGGAGCAAGCAAGTGAAATTCCCCAACCCCAGCCCTGCTGCAGGGAGTGGCGCGGACAAGCATGAGAGGAGCCAGGCAGAGTGGATGTCTGCTGCAGGTGCCGGGCAGCGGGCGGCCACAGGAGAACCTGGGTCTGCTGCGGACGCATCCCTGTGGCAGGAAGGCCCAGCCTTGAGCCAGGCCCCTCCCCTGGACAGGCAGGTGTTTCAGGGAGGCCGACCTGTAGGGCTGTCACCCCCCGGATCCCAGCCCCCAGCAGAATTCTGAGGGCTTGGAGTGTGCTGGGGGTAGGGAGCGCATGGGGCATGGCTGTGTCTTCCAGTCACTGGCTCAGGAGTGTGCTGGGGGTAGGAAGGTCATCCCAGATGGGGCTTGGCTGTGTCTCTCAGTCACTGGCTCAGGGAATGAGGGAAGGGGACTTGCTCTCACCTCCCCTGCTTCACGTGGCTGTGCGATCCCCCACGAGGTCCTGATGACAGGAGTGGGAGGAGGCACTGGAGAACGG